GTCTGCGTGGAAGAAATGGTGCTCTGGAGTGGCTGGCAAGCTTGCGTGGGGTTTGAATGTGCCCTGTGCAGATGAACGACGTATAGACAGTCCCACTGGTGGTCGTGGCCTTGTCAGTACTCTGGGGACTCCGCCCTCGCAGGTGCGAGTTGATTGTTCGTGTCCACAGTGAGAGAGGGCCTGTGACAGACCACAGTGGCTTATGTGACGTCCGTCTGGTGCAGGTGGGACTGCAGCATGATGTGAGGCTGTGCCCCAGGGTCTGGGGATTGGCTTTGACTATAAAATGGTCCATACTGAAGCCTCTCCTCCCCCTCGCATCCTCGTGTTGCTGATGGTCCGGTAGTCAGGATAGAGGGGTCTGCTTTCCGAGGGAAGTCCTGTCTGTGGGTGTCCACCCGCAGGGGTGGGCCAGATGCCAGAGACCAAGGCAGGCTCCGGGCTGCACCCAGGGGGTGGCTTGGTGGGAGGGCTGCTGCTGGTCCTGGTGGGGGCCAAGACGTGGGTGCTTCTGTGTTACCACTTTGATTGAAAACCTTGTTTTTGCACCCCACTCCCGCATTTTAGAGTCTGATTTTCATTTCTAAAGCTCTGTTGCCTTTCAGACTCACATGGTTCATCCTCACCACTTCTGTCTGGTACCTCCTTTTCATTTTAAACTTTGAAAGCCCTCCCCAGGCATGCAAGGTAGGTGACTGTAGGCTGGGGTGGGGGGGTGCACATTACTGTGGTAATTGCTGCCGTGGTGTTTACTCGGCTTCTTCATGGGCGGGAGAAAACTATTCGTGGACACTTGTTGTTGCTATTGTTAGCTGCCGTCCGGTCCGACTCACAGTGGCCCTGTCAGTGTCCAACAGGAGGAAACGGTCTTCCTTATTCATTGTCCCGCGGTCACATCTGAGGGGAGGGACACTGGGTGCCGTGAGTCAAACTCTGAAGTGAGTGCTCAGACACTGAGTTTCAGCGTGCTCGGGGACAGAGAGCTGGTTATTGTAGGGACGTTCTGTGCACCACATACTAGCTGCAGTGTCTGTGAAGGGAGTCCCTTTGGAGAAGACGCTGGCCCTGGGGGACGCCCAGGTCAGTTGGCATAACAGTCCACAAAGCAGTGGTCTGCACCCTGTCCCAGCTCATGAGTGGCCGTGCAAAATGCAGCTACTGGGCTCTCCCCCTCCGCAGGAAAGAGTGATGAAAATCGAAGACACAATTAGTCACGGGCACTAATGTCTCCACAACCCTGAGACCAGAACAACTGGATGGTACCCAGCTACTCTGAGAAGGCCCTGCATCGAGAGAGGAGGAGGAGAACTGAACAGTGATGAGAGAGACCCAGTTAGCTGCTCTGGTAGAGCCGCTAAGACAATGCCCCTTAGTGCAGGCCTGGAATTCTGCCCGGCGGCTCAGCTTCCTGTTAAAAATGAAAAGTAGCTACCAGACAGAAGTGGTGAGGATGTCTCTGAGGGAAAAGTAACCGGAGTGGGGTCATTGTTAGATTGTTTGGCCCTTTGGATGACCAACCAGGCCAAAGGGCCGCAGTCCCCAAGGACAGAGCCAGGAGGGTCAGGGAAGAGGGAGAAATGGGAGCAGGAAACGCTGGGCGAAGGTTTCACTAAACCAGATGCTGGTTGCCGGGGGCTTTTCTGAGGGATGCATGCCTCCCTTCGCCCCAGGCCTGGGCCTGCAGATCCGCTTTGTGGTTTTCCCCCTCCATCTTCCGGTCCACTGCCCCGGGGGTTTGACTTTGCTGGTACTCATCGATCTCCATCTTTGTTCAGCGGGAATGGGGAGTGAGTCATTTTGAGTTTGCGATCTCTCCCAGGAGACAAAACACAGTGGGAAGAACGTTGGCATTTTTAAGGTTAATTTCTAAATAGGGGTGACTGTTCACTACAGAGAAGCAGTGTCTTGGGTTGAAAAAGACCCACCTGGGGCCGTAGTGGGGTGAGGGCAATCTTGTTTAGCTTTCCTTTCTGGGACACTAGTGCCACTGACTGGTAGGGTGGGAGGGGGTACCTCGTACCTGGCAGGAAGGAAGCACCTCTAAACATTGGATGGGTGGGCTTGTTCTGTGGGATTGCCACGTGGCTTCCTGCACCTGGGAGAAATACCAGACCTGC